CAGCCCCTCATAGCTCATTTCCTCCCTAAAGCTCCACCCCCCAAAGGCTCCACAACCCTCTCATATAGCTCCACGGCTGGGTACCATCTGTTAAACACATGGACCTGAGAAGGATATTCCATTTTCAAACCACAGCACTCTGAAATGTCTGGGCTCACTGAGGACATCAGCAACGTGATGATCTAAGCAGCCTGGCTGCCATGGTGTTTCTGGGAACACTTTGAAACATTCTGGCAGATCTATAACATAGACATAGATGGAAAAATCAAACTTTTAATTCTGTTTTGGAGACAGGGTCTCATATAGCCTAGGGTAACCTTGAGATCTTTATGTAGTCGAGACTGACCTTGAATACCAGATCCTTCTGCCTCCACCTCCCAAGTATCAGGATTACAGGCATGTACCACCATGCCCAACTCAACTTCTCTTTTTGTTGGTTTGGTTTTTGATGCAGCCCAGACAGTCCTTGAATTTACTCTGTTGCTAAGTCTTGCCTTGACCTCAATATCTCCCTGGAATTTCAAGTGTGCACTGCCACACCTGATTTATGGACTGTTAGGGATGGAGCCAGGGCTTCACGAATGGGAGGCCAGCACTCTACCAGCTGAGGCTTTGTCCCCAGCACCAACATTCTACTCCTTTTTTGAAACAACTATTTATTTTTTAATACGTGTGTGTGTGTGTGTGTGTGTGTGTGTGTGTGTGTGTGTGTGTGTTGACTGTGTGTATGTGTATGCACCACATGTGTATAGTGACCACAGCATCAGATATCCTAGAAATGGAGTTATGGGAGGTTACGAACCACCATGTGGGTACTGGGACCTGAACCCAGGTCCTCTCCAAGATAAATAAGAACTCTTAGCCACTGAGCCATCTCTCTGGTCCCCAGTGTTCTATTTCATAAAAATCTCAGAAATGTCAACAGGTTGTGTACATGAAAGGTCCTCAAAAATACCCAGAGGATGAGCACTATCTTATAATAGCTTTCTGGTTTCTAATTCCATATGCTGCAAATCAGCCCAGACTCTGCAGTAGCTTTTTGTCTATTAGAAATAATTCCTAAACAGAAGTAGATGGAGGAGGAGATAGTCTGTTGTATTCAGCTTTATGTTTTCCTGCTGTTCTTAGTTACTGTTCTATTGCTGTGATGAAACACCATGACCAGGGCCATTTATAAAAGGAAACATTTAATTGGGGTATTGCTTACAGTTTCAGTGGGTTAGCTCATGACTGCCATCATGGCAGGGAGTATAGAGACAGGCGGGTAAGCAGGCAGGCAGGCATGGGGCTGGAGCAGTAGCTGGCAGCTTTACATCCAGACCTGCAGGAGGCAGTGGGCAGAGAGAGAAAGGGAGATTGGGCCTGGGGTGGGCTTTTGAAACCTCAAAGGCCTCCTCCAGTGACTCACCTCTTTCAAGTGTGGGAGCCCATGTAAGAAAGCTATAAATTTATTGTGAACTATGAATGGGGCAGAGTACAGAATGTTCTTCCCACAAGGTGGCCTTCTAGAAAGAATAGTATAAACTATGGTAAGTGAATGCACTTAAAAGCAAGGACCTGGTGGAAATGCCCTAGCATGTCCACATCCTCTCTGTGGGAATGTTCTTGGCTCTTTTCGTATGATAAGATGATAAGATGATAAGACATAACACCGGGTGTACTCCCTGCTGTCCTTGTATTTACCTAACTACAGTAGATTTCACCTCATGTTTTCACTTTAATAACAAAAATAAGAAGTGCTTTGTTTTGTACTACTCTTGAGCTCAAAAACTTCAAAAAAGAAAAGAAAAGAAAAAGTCCCCTGGTTTGTCCCCATTTAGATCTTTAGAATATATACTTTGATCCTGGAGATTCAGCCTTGCTGGCCAAAGGGCAGATTGACATCCAAAGCCACACCTACTCCAACAAGGCCACACCTCCTAATCCTTCCTAAACAGCCTGCCAACTGGGGACCAAACAGTCAGACACATGAGTCTATTGGGACAACCATCATTCAAACCACCACACCTGCATAGCACACTGTGCTGCAAGCACTAAACAGACATGGCTGACTGTGTGAATCAACCCCGGTAAGAGCGGAGAGAACTCAGTGATTGTACTAAAGACAGGGACATCTTTGGAAAGGGCACAGGATTGCTCTCTGATATCTGTGGCATAAAAGTGCGGCAGGAATTGAGCAGGACAAACAGGGAAACTTTATCCAAACCTTGGCAGGTGAATAGCCCGCCTCTTATGTGGTGTCTCATCTCCCTATTTTTTCACTCAGAGTTCACTGTATGAGCCCCCTCTTCAGTGGGAGAGGAGGTGCTGTAGCTCCATCTGCATTCTGAAGATGAAGTTTATTTCATCTCTGGTCATATTTACATTTCAAGGCTTGATCAAACATAGTGGTCGTCATTCAAGAGTAACACACAATTTTCTTCTGTCCATAAAAAGGAGACTGAGACATGAGAAGACAAAAATTGGGGGGTTACCTAGGCCTCCACAGTGCTGTTCCTGGTAGACATTAGTGCCTGGAATGCCTCACAAGCCAGTGGGAAATCTTAGTGTCTGAATGCAGGGGGTATATGGGTTGCTGTTGTTAATATGTATTCTACCTTGGATTTTTTTTTTTTTTGAAGGACAAAGAGTTTGTTTAGCTTGCAATTCAAAAGGAATATAGTCCCTCATGGTGGGGAAGACAAGGCAGTAGGCAAGAAGCATGCGCAGCAGCAGGCTGCTGGTCATGTTGCGTCCATACTCAGGAAGCAGAGAGGAAGGGTGAATACATCTATGTTGGATTTTAATCTAGTTGGAATTCATTTTATGTTGGATTTTGCTTGAATGATGACAATCTCAACCATTAAGGTAGTACCACACATCTATCTTTTCTACTTTAAATTCAGACTTTATGCCATCTAGAAAATGGAGATAATTGAAGAAAAGTGCTAAAGACTTGGAGAGAAAGATTGAGAACAGAACGTGTTCTCACTTTGACTGTGGTTATGGACCCTTTCACAATCATGGTCTAATTTCTTAGCCAGTCATTGTTTGACCTGTAAGAGAAAGTTTAAAAAAATTAGCTATGTCTTTTCTGTTGGAGAAGGGAGATAAAATTTAAAATTATTGGTGTATAACACTGTTTTATATATATTAATGGCAGTATTGTATAAATCATGAATTTTGACTCATGTAGATACAGATATATTTAAAGACAGAGTCTTAAGTAGACTGGTCTCAAACTCACTATGTAGCCAAGAATGACTTTGGACTTCCTCTACCTCCCAAGTGTTGGGATTATAGGTATGGGTCACCACAACAGGCCAATGCTGCTGCTGCTTCTTTTTTAAATGTTTTGAAAATGTGTACGCCCCTGTAATCTCAGCACTTCAAAGGTGGAGAAAGCAATTCAAGAGTTCACGGCTATTTCTGAAATTAGTTTACAAGTCTGGGCTACATGAAACCCTGTGCTAAAATACGGAACACTAAGACAATAGCTACTAGAAAACTCTAAAAATGTATAGTCCACACTATCTTTTACTGAATCGTAGGTGTTAGGAACCTACCCTCACTTTGGCACATGCGCAGCTCCGGGTCTTTCATCTTACGTCACAGCAGGCGTTGGCAACTACGTGGTCATGCCTTAAAAAGCCGGTCACCGACCCACCCTCTCTCTCTGCTCTCTCTCTGTTCCTTCTCTACTACTCCCTGCTCTCTGCTCTGCTCCCGCCATCTACCCCCCCCCCCAGGCCTGGCTCTCCTCCCTCCTATCCTCTCCTTCCTTCTAATAAAGCTCTTTGTAACTCTGGTAGTCGTGGCCGTGGCCGTGACTTTTCCTCCAGTAACCAGAGCTGCCACCAGCGCCGTTTACCTATCAGTAGGGGACTATTATCTAAAGTCCATGCAGAGTCTCTGGGTAGGGTCATGTCTGAGTGGTGAGAACGTGAACTTTGTTGCTAAGATTCCTTAGGGGTTAGGGGGGGAATAAACAATCTGTTTACCTCCTCTCATAAGGTCCCAACAACAAACTGAGGCACAATTCTGCGGAAGTTCACTCTGGGGAACCAAAGAGTTTATTGGGTTTTCTTGCAGAGCACAGATGAGGGACCATCTACAGGGGTGTGGGTGCTCCTTCCCCAACAGGCAGCTGCCAAAAAGCCTTACCCAGTACGGCGGGGGCTTCCCCAAAGCCATGTGTATGGAGCCCTCTCTCTCAGTCTTCCCTGGCCAATGCACTCAGCCCCTCCCCAGGCCATGGACAGCTAAAGCCGAGCTGTATACAGCTTGTACTAGAGAGGAGATAGATTAGGCCACACTCCCCACCCCTCCACGAGAGGTGTAGACAGACACAAGCCAAGCTGGGATGATCTTCTGCAAGGGGGCGCAGGTAAATGCTCCAAGATGGCAGCGGCTTGGCTCAGAGGACAGTCACTCAAACAGCTTCCCGTGCAGAGACTGTGAACTAGTGATGCCTTCCTGGCAAATGCCTTAATTTCGTGGGGATCTAGTTTCCTTGGGTGGGGAACATGGCAAACATGAACTTTGCAGTGCTGTGACTCAAAGGGTACAGCCAAGCGGTAGACTGTGTGAGGCTCCTAATTCTGATCCCCAGCATGAAGGGAAGGACAGAAGGAGGGAAAGAGCTAGGCTGTGGTGTTCCACCCACCAGTTAGCTATGCATTTTAGAATTTACACATTCCACTACAGTTTCAATACCGTGTAGCCCAGATTGGCTTCAGTTGCAATCATCTTGCCTCTACCTCCCAGATGTTGAGGTCACAGGCATGTGGCACCATACCCACTTGATTTTTTTTTTAATGAGATAGGGTCTCTCTACTAGCTCTGGCTGTCATGGAACTCACTATGTAGACTAGGCTGGCCTCGAACTCACAGAGTTCCACCTGCCTCTGGCCCTGCCCCTGCCCCTAAAGTACTATGATAAAAGGCATGCATACCACACTCAGCTCAGTTGACCTAGTTTTGATGTTAAAGACTAACGGGGTGATCTTCTGACTCATTTTCAAGGTCATAGATGTGGCTCTGGAAAACAGATCAAATTTATTTCATCATAATAATCATCTTTAAGCTTTGGTCAAAGGAGATCCACAGCATGCACAGTGGGAAAGGAATCTGGCCTCGTGTGTGAGGTGAGGGGTGGAGCCTGAGGTGGGAGGCTGGGTGGGCTGACTATCCCTAGCCTTCCTTAAGGAGGCAGCTGTGTGTTTGCCTCTGCAGAGTTTTTTCATAAATCCCTTTAATAACCCCGCCCAGGCTGCGACCCTGCCATCTCCAGGGGAGGGAGCTGAGATGCACAGAGAACAACGAGCCTGACGCACACTCCACACAGCCCCTGAATCTCTGACCAACCCAAGCCAGCTGATGACAGTCTTGCCCCTGCCCAGGCCCTGTGGGAGGAAGAGGCTGACAGATCAAAAGGGCTACCAGCTGGCTACGGTGCCTCACAACTGTGGGTCTGGGGCAGTGACTAAAGAGATGCATGACTCAAACTTCAGCTGGAGGCAGGGAGACACTGCAGCAACTCATTAAGACAGAGTGCAGCAGAACCGGGCCCAGCCAAGGTAAACCCCCTTCCAGCGGTGGCTTACCCACAGACTGGCCTCTTCTGAGACCCGGTGCATGTTACCTAGGCAGGCCTTGGACTCTTGACCCCCGTTCTCTGACTCCCCAGGGCAGGGATTACATAAGCTATGGGTTTGCTGCTTCTTCCCAGCCAAGCTTCCCACCTGCCTGGCTATGCCCTGGTCTGTGCTCCACAGGCTTTTCCCGCCACTAAGCTCTCAGTCCACTGTGCTGGGCTTGCGTTTCCGGTCACTTTCTCCAACCGTGTTCGCTTCTCTTTCTTCACCACACTCAAGCATTTGGATTAACCGTGCCTGGGCCTCTGTTTCTCATGTGTCCCCTCACAGAATTCAAGTCCAGTGGGCAGGAGCTTCTCTGCTTACGCTCACAGTTATACCACGGGCTGAAGAGTCCTAGTCAGAGTGTGTACTCACTAAACCCTTTCTGGAATGTTACTGTTTGGTCTGTGTTGCTGAGGCCACAGCATGCTATGCTGACCACAGGCCTAGAGGATGTGAGGAATACAGTGCTGACTGAAGTGGAGGGCAGAAGGCTGGGGTGCATGCTCTTTCCCAGCATTATCTGCTTTGGCTCTGGGCAGACATCTACCCAGGCCTCCCTTCTTGCTGTCCTAACTTTTTGTTTTTTGGACAGGATCTCTCTACATAGCTCTGGCTGTCCTGGAACTCATTATTTAGACCAAGCTGGCCTGGAACTCACAGAGATCCATCTGCCTCTGCCTCTGCTTCTGCCTCCAGTGTGTTGGAATAAAAGGCATGTGCCACAATGTCTGGTGCTGTCCTGACATCTTTGAGCTTTCAAAGACCTCTTGTCACAAAGCACTGTGACTTTCTGCTTGCCTGCTTCCTGCCATCTTGTACCAGGAGCTTTAGTTAACAGGAACTTGATGGAGTTGTCTTTGAGTGTCTGGTATCTGATACAGAGCTATAGGGTTGGTTGGTTTGTTTGTTTTTGGTGAGTGAGCCTTTGATTTGTATGTATTTTGAGACTTCATGTATTCCAGGCTGGTTTCCAATTTATTAAATAGCCAAGGCTAGCCCTGAACTCTTTCTTGTTTCTCCTGCTTCTACCTTCTAAGCCCAGGGATTATAGGCATATACCACCACATCACGCATATGTGATTTTGTGCATGTCAGACTTTGTGCATGTTGTGCAAGCACTCTATCACCTGGGCCACTTCTCCAACTCTGTTCTGAATTTACTTGTGTGGGGCTGTGCCATCTGAGTTCATCAGGAGTCTGAATGTGTGACTGATATACACGCATCAAAGATCAGGCTTATTGCGGCATTGATAAAACTCCTGGATTTCAAAGTCATTCATACGTTAAACAACAAAACCAAAATACATGTTACTGAAGAAAGGAGGCTTTCAGGTTTTGGCTGGCATATTAGTCAGGGTTCTCTAAGGAAACAGAACTGTTAGAATACCTGTACTTCATTAGGCTGACTTTCCAGGGTGTGGTTTATGGAATCTGAAGGGGTCTCTGAGAACACCAGGGCTAGCAGAGTGAGGACCCACCAGAGGAGCTGAACAGAAGATCCTTGTTGAGATGTCCCTCGGTGGACAGAGCAAGAGAGACCTGAAAAAGTAACACTTTTCTTCTGAGCTGGAGGAGATTGCTACATTTTTGCAATTTCTTTTTTCTTTTTATTTTCTTTTCTTTTTTTTTTTTTTTTTTGTTTTTCGAGACAGGGTTTCTCTGTGTAGCTTTGTGCCTTTCCTGGGACTCACTTGGTAGTCCAGGCTGGCCTCAAACTCACAGAGATCCGCCTGCCTCTGCCTCCCAAGTGCTGGGATTAGAGGTGTGCACCACCACTGCCCGGCCATTTTTGGAATTTCTTAGGCAGGAGAAGCAGAGCTCTGCTAGGAAAACCCCTTAAGTGGGGCCTGCACAAAACTCAGCTGTAGTGGCTCTCCTGAAGAGGATCAGGATTGCTATATCCTGAGGGGGAGACCATCCCCCATCACACCAGGTATAGCCTGACTCCCAACAGTCGGGATACCCTAACTTGCAGAGATCCTGGCAACTCCAGGCCTAACTTTCCTGAACAGTCAGAATACCCTTTCCTGCTGAAGGAGTTCCAGGCATGACTCTTCCAAGCAGTCAGAAAATTTTCCTTCCAGGCTTGGGCTGCTTCTTTGCAGCTCCAGCCATCAGGGCTATCCTGAGCAGCTTGAGATGTTCAGGATACCTCGCCTTCCAGGGCTGAAACTCTCCTTGCAGCTCCAGCCATCAGAGCTGTGCTAAACAGCTCCAGGTGTCCGGGATACCTTGCCCTCCAGGGTTGGGCTGCCTCTCGGCAGCTCCAGCCACCAGAGCTGTCCCAAGCAGCTCAAGGTATTGCCTGACTCTCAGGTAGTCAGGATACCTCTCCCTAGAGTTGTAAAACTCACACTTTGGTGCCAAAACCTGGGACCAAACCCACAGAGTTGCAACAAATTTACTTACAGTCTCTGGGAACACCAGGGCTAGCAGGGTGAGGATCCACCAGAGGCAAGAAGGCAGTTTGGTTTAACACAACTCAATAGCTGGAAATGTTTCAACCTTTTAGAGTCTGACCCCTCTGGAGTAGTTTATTTTAGGCATACTTAAACACAGCAGCACAATTTGATAAAAATCTTCATGGTCATAATTAACTCAGTCCCATGAATACAACAAAGCTTAAGACACGCTTACATTGAGAATTTTTGTAAAGTACAAGTGCCATCTTCCATAAAGATAGGTTCTATAGATTAACTGAGAAAACAAACTCAAGTTAAGGGTCTGGGGGAGGATCTGGTGTGATCTCAGCTACACAGATATTGAAAAGGTCACCAGGCATCTCCCAGCCTTCTGGGCAGAACACAGGTTTATATATCTCTCCCTTTGAAGAGATAATCCCGTGTGTTTGATGTTCTTGGTTCTGCTAGTGCTTATCTGCGAGCACAGGACCTCTGTGCCTCCTACAGCTCAACAATGACTTTATCTCACTGACGAAATAAAAAATCCAGTAGTTGCTCAGTCCACAGGGCTGGATCTCAGCAGTGTCAGTTTAGTACCAGATGGCTTTCAGTCTGCGTTGGAAACTCAAAGAAGTTGGTTCTCATCTCGGCAAAAGAATGCCATAGCAACAGGATGGGGAACTTTCCATCAAGAGTAAAGACAAGCAGGCAAAAATCAAAGTTTCCTTCTTCTGTGTCCTTTTATCTGAGCTGCCACCAGAAGGTACCACCCACAGTAAGGTGAGTCTTCCTCCTTCAAGTAATCCCTTACAGGAGAGTCCTGAAGTTTGTGTTTTAGTTAGTTCAAGATGCAGTCAAGTTGACAGCCAAACTTAGCCATCACATAGGCTATATATACAGGAACTCCCAGCATCCTTATGGCCCTTTTTCTTAAGTTTATCTGTGTCATCCCACCTATTCATAAGCCCACATTTATTTGGAAAGAAATACAAAGAGTATGGCATCCTGTGCCACTCAGGATGATTTCAGAGTTGTGATCTCAACTCCTGATCAATTCTATAGTCTTCTAGCCTCATCTACAATCATGAGCTTGGTAAACTAGCCTCATTAATCATGCCAGTGTTTGGGGAGGGCATCTCTGTCTTCCAGCCTGTGTGACTTAGTGACACAGTCCCTTCTCATAACATCTCTTCACACCTCCTCTGCACACCACTTTACTAGCTGTGTTGCCAGATACCTGATATCTGAGGACATAATTTACTTGATAATTTGCTATAATGCCATCCCTAGGATTCAATTTTAATTGGCGAAGAAAATCTGCTGTAGATTCAATCATCATTTTTACTCCGCATCCCGAATTCCCTATGTCCTATAGGAGCTGAGAACAAGGATGAAAAAGAGAAATGTCTTTCTCTTTGAGGATCTGCATTTCTGCAGGTCAACACAGGACAAGGGCAGGTGACTTCAGACTCACCAGTAGTACTTATGGCTGGGTAAAGACATGAAGGTTGAGCACAACTGATGAATAAACTGAGGAGGAGCAAGGCAGAGCAGAACTGCAAGAACAAAAGACAAGAAAGGATGTTCATGACGAGAAGTATGGGAGGAACTGGAGAGGCTGTTCAGTATTTAAGAAGACCTGGGTTCATTTCCCGTCACCCATATAGTGGCTCACAACCATCTGACACTCCAGTTAGTGGTGGATCTAATGCTCTCTCCTGGCCTCTGCAGGCACTATACATGCATGTGGTACATGTAGACAAAACAGTTATACACATTAAATAAACAATTGATTAAAAATGATGGGAGATGTTGCCTTATGGTTTTTATCACTGTGTGTGGTGGATTAAATGAGAGTGGTCCTCACGGGCTCAGATATTTGAATACTTGAATACGGTTGGTAGAACTGTTTGGGAAGGATGAGAAGGTGTGGCCTTCTTGGAGCAGGTGTGTCACCAGGGGCAAACTTTGAGGTTTCAAAAGACTCAGGCAGCTCCCAGTGCTTTTTTCTGCCTGATGATTATGGATCAAGATGTGGGTGCTCAACTGTTCCTTCACTCTGCTATCTCGGACTCTAATTCTCTGACCGTAAGCCCAATTGAACACTTGTATAAGTTGCCTTGGTCATGGCGCTCTGTCACAGCAATAGAAAAGTAACAAACATGGATAGAATGCCTCAGTTGTAAAAATAGAATTCTGATGAGGTTATAGCTGGCCCTGCTCAAGCATGTATCCCTGGGTCAACCCTCCTGTAGCCTGTCAGGATGGAGCAGGCAAAACCAGGACAAGGGGAAACTGCAAGATATGCACATAGCCCCTCACAACTGTCCTGTTCCCCAATCCTTCCTCCCCTCCTCACAGGCACCTCTTTCCCACAGAAGAGTGTCTGCCCTTCTCAGTTTTGAAATAAACAGTCTCTTCTGATGTCAGTCTGGTCTCTTTCTGCCTCCTAGCTCTTTAAGCTACTTCAGAAATCTAACAAATTCACTGTGATGAAACACCATGACCAAAACCAGCATGGAGAGGAAAGGGTTTATTTAGCTTACACTTCCATATCACAGTCCATCACTGAGGGAAGCAAGGGCAGAAACTCAAGCAGGATAGGACCTGGACATAGGAACAGAGGCCATGGAGAGGTGCTGCTCACTGCTTTACCTCCATGGCTTGGTCTGCTTGCCTTCTTAGAGAAAGAACCCAGCGCCACCCACCTGGGGTAGCACCACCTACAATGGGCTTGGCACTACCACATTAGTCTCTAATTAAGAAAATGCACTACAAATTTACCTGCAGGCCAGTCTTTTAGAGACATTTTCTCAACAGAGTTCCTCTTCTGAAATGACTCATGTCTGAGAGGTAAACTGGGCCTCACCAGAGCTGTTATGGTTTAGATACAAAATGTCCCCCCAAAGGCTCATAGTTGGGGGATTGGTCTACAGATGTTGGTACCACTCTACCACAGATGTTGGAACTTTAGGAGGTGTAGGAAGCCAGGGTACCAGTACATATTGGGAGGGCAGTCTTTTACTCCTGGCCTCTTTCTGTATTTTTTTCTGTATCCTGCCCATCACAAAGTGATGAGCTCACCTCTATCACCTGCCAAGCAACCACAGGCTGAGCCCTATGAAACTGTGAGCCAAACTAAATTCTTCTTCATTTAAGTTATTCTTTCAGGCACAATATGTTCTGTTTTCAATTATTTTTTGTTTTATTTTATGTATATGAATGTTTTGTCTGGCTGTATGTTGGTGTACCATATATATGCCTGGTGCCCACAGAGGACAGAAGAAGGCACTAGATGCCTGAAAACTGGAGTTACAGATGGCTGTGAGCCACCATATCAGGTGCTGGAAATTGAACCTGTGTTTTTTGGAACAGCAGCCAGTGCTCTTAACCACTGAGCCAATTCTCCAGCCCATCACCGAGTCTTAGAAATTTTGGGAAATCATGTAATGATATATAAGCTAATACTTTTCGTTTTTGAGACAGAGTTCTCAGGTAGTTCAGAACATTCTCAAACTCACTCTGTAGTTGAGGTTGACCCTGAACTCTGATCCTCTTGCTTCTACCTTCTGAGTGGAAACAGAGGTGTGTGCTATTGTGTCTGCTGTGAAGCCAATTTTAAAAATTAAATTAATTAATATTATGATTTTTGAGTATGTGCATGATCTTTTTGTGTAGGTATGTGGAGTTGGCTTTCTCCTTCCACCTTTACCTGTCGTCTGGGCATGGAACTCAGGCCACCCAGTCTCGGCTAGATGACCCTTTAATCCATTGAGTCATCTTGCAGGTTTGTGAAGCTAATTCTTTTAACCAGAACAGACAAGTAACCAGAAAAGGCTGCTATGTTAAGCCTGTACCCTAACATAATTTTTGAAAAATAGGAATGTATGTGGGACAGAACATTTCTTCTTCTTATATGCAATGTATTAGGTATGTCTGTCTCCAATTACACTGAGTCCCTGGGGGCTCAGAACTTTCCATGGCCCTTTTGTCTCTATGACAATGCGCCTGGTGGCTTCAGAGGAAACACAGGTGACAGGTGGTGCAGGTGCAGGCGATGCTGGGGAGAATTGTTGACTGCAGAATCACATAGGTACTTCATGAGAATCTGTGCCTGAGTGCTCTGCTCTGCCCAGCCTGACTGCCTGAGCCCCCACCTCTCTAGGAAACTTCTAGAGGTCCTGCAGCTCTGGAGGAACCAGAGCTCCTGGTGGCTGTGTAGGCAGGGAGTTGGGAACTCCCTCTGGGACTCCATTTCCGATGATGATTAAGCTTCGCGAGTTCTAGAAGGGCACGACTCAGGCAAGAAGCATCCACTCTGGCCAGCCTCAGCCTCATGCAGCCCTTCAGCATCCCGGTCCAAATCACACTGCAGGGTGGTCGGAGGCACCAGGGGAGGTAAGTCCCCATCTGAATCTCCCATTCGTGTGCATCCTGCCAAACAAGCTGTGTGCATTACTGCAGGGTGTGCTGAGTTGGAGGCTGAGTTTGATAGGTGCTCTGAGGAGGCCCAGCTTGCAATGCCTCCCAGGCACCTGCAAACTCCACTCTCTTATTCCCCAGCCCTCCCACCACCCACCACCTCCCCGCACCCACCTCCATCTTTGCCTGTTGTTTTGAGACAGGGTTTTGTAGACCTGGCTGGCCTCAAGTTCTCTATACAGTTAAGAATGATCTTCCTGCCTCCACCTCTCCGGGGCTGGGATTCCAGGTGTGGACCAACGTACCTGGATGCAGAGGCCACACAGGTGGTGTGGGCTCTGGGTCCCAACGCTCAGGCAGTGCTCAGCAGATACCTTTCGGGTGAAGAAATGACACCAGCCTTTGGTCCCATTGGTGGAGTCTCGATGGTCCAGACCAAGACTCAGGCTCCAGCTCCCCATCTGGGCAGCTGTAAGATTTCGAGTCTCTGCCACCTTCTCGTCTTGAAATAGTGACTCTTATCTAAGTGTGCCCTAGCCCAGGGGTACACTCTCCTCGAACTCTCGAAACTAGATAGGTCTGTATATTCTATGTACACGAGCTTTTTTATATTATTGCTTTGGGTATTGTTTGTTTGTTTTTGAGACAGGGTCGCAGGTAGCTCAGGGTGACTGAAAACATGCTGTGTCACTGAGGCTGACCTCGAACTCCTTAGCTTCCTGCCTCCACCTCCCAAGTGCAGAGATTGTAGATGAGCACCACTCAGCTATGCTGCGTAAAGGAGGAAGTGAAGAGTTATCTTAGGACCCCCATCTGCCCAAGGGTATGCAGAACAGGTGAGTTATGAGCTTCAGGAAGTGGCGCTCCCATGCCTGTCCCAGGGCCGGGGCAGGAGAGTCAGAAATGGGCAGAGGAGAGGAAATCAGTGCCCAGGGCTTTTTGAGTAATGAGATTTTAAAGATGTGTTGGCATATTCTTGGGAGGAGTGCACCTGGAAGCCAAGCTCTCCCACCACAGGAAGCTTGGACGGCTTGTTAGTGGGGGCTGGGTACCAGCTCCCCTCCAGTTTTAACTACCCTCCTGGGATAGGGTGTGAAGGAGAAGGAGGAGGGGGTCGGATGGGTTGGGGATGGGATTCAGGCAGGTAGGAGGGTCAGACCACAGAGCAGACCACTCTCCTAGCTGTGAACTAATGCATTTATGAGCGATTACAGCGAGTCTCTGCATGGCAGGAAACTGAGCCGCGACCAAGCCAGCAAGTGAAAGTTGAAACACTGCTCATGAAGGCGGTCAGGTCTGTCCCCACACTGCTCACGACACAGGTGACAGTCAGGTCTGCCCCTCACACAGAAGACAGACAGTCCAGTCTGTCTCCCACACACCTACATCTCACTTTCATTCCTGATACACAGAGTTGGGGAGAGCTCTTTGCTCCCACCCTGAACTTGGTGGTGGCTGTTATTCAGCCTCATTTGCTGTTTAAAAAAAAAAAATTGTTAAGCAGTTTTGTAATTAAAAACAAGCACCCAGAAGGGTGAGAGCAAAGACCAAAGCCTCTTTTTCCACAGAAACCCATTTCGGGAAGGTGCTAGTTGAAAATGCCCTGTGCCCAGAGTTACAAATGCATGGGAATCCTCACCAGGTGAATCGTGACATGTGGCTGAGCTAGAGAGTTTCTAAGGAACAGTTCTCACACAGTTGAGATGTCCAAGGGCAAGGCTGCTGGCTCCTGCCCCACCACACCCAGAAAGGCTGTGCAGCTAGCAAGCTAGCCTGCTCAAGTGCTTGACAACTCAGTTGCCTCAGGTTGAGACGGCGCGGGGGCTTCTGCTGTGCTCAGGACTGGTGGGAACATCACCCTCTGCAGGGAGGACAGGGCGGGAGGGAGGACAGGGCGGGGAGGGCAGGGCAGGGAGGACAGGGCAGGGAGGACAGGGAGGACAGGACAGGGAGGACAGGGAGGACAGGACAGGGAGGACAGGGAGGACAGGACAGGGAGGACAGGGCAGGGAGGACAGGGCAGGGAGGACAGGGCAGGGAGGACAGGGCAGGGAGGACAGGGCAGGGAGGACAGGGCAGGGAGGACA